TGTGTGGGAGGAGGGGGAGGGAAATGGGAAACGGGGAGGAAGCAGAATTTTTTTTAACTTTAAAGTTTAATAAAATTAAAAAAGAAAAAAAAAGAAAAAAAAGAAAGTGCTATGCCATCATCTTACTTTTCTTGTAGTTTCTAAAAAATCAAATCTCCAACTGTCCATCTTATATTCAAAGTTAGAATAAAGTATGATTTTTATCCATGAAGTAAGAAAACAAAACATAACTAAAGATATAAAATAAAACCACTCTATTTAAATGACACTAGACTAATTATATTCTGTATTCCCTAGGGGGAATGTTTTCTTAGAAGCAAGTGTGAGTCTCCTAGGACTGGTGGAGAGTCCTATAGACTATGACTTCCTGTGTTACTGAGTGAGGAAGCTCTGCATCTGTCCCTAGGCCTGACAAACTTGGTTGATTTGCATGTGCCCAGAGCATATCACCTTTAACTGACAGATTCTGAGCTTACAGTTCAGTCCCTGCAGGAGTCACTTCCACTGAGGACACAGCATGGCCCTGAGGACTCCTGCTCTGTCTCTAGTAATTTGGCTACTCTGGCTCTCAGGTAAGTTGAATAGGATAGAAATGTTTTCCAACCCTGAATAGCCATAACTTCCTTTCTAATCAGAGAATTTCTACTATAACGTTGTGTTATTTTTTTTTCTATTGTCAGGTACCAGATGTGACATTCAAGTAACACAATCTCCATCCTTCCTGTCAGTGTCTGTAGGAGGCAAAGTGACCATCACTTGCCTGGCAAGTCAGAGCATTAGCAATAACTTTAACTGGTACCAGCAGAGATCAGGAGAAGCTCCTACACTCTTGATCTATTATGCAAATAATTTGCAATCTGGTGTACCATCAAGGTTCAGTGGCCAATATTCTGGGAAAAGTTTCACTCTATCCATCAGTAGCCTGGAATCTGAAGAAGTTGGAACTTATTATTGTCTACAGCATTACAGTTTTCCTCACACAATGATACAAATCATGACATAAACCACAGAAGGAAGCAGAAGTTGGAGTCTATGCTGTCCCAGGTGCTGCTCCTTTTCTGTGAACGTGCTCACAATACTTGTATATCAAGAAACAGTTCTGCTTGAAAGTCCCCAGATATCTGATTATTAATCGTGTTCTCTCTGGTTCTCTGCCAGCATTCTGTATGCATCTACCACAACAGTGGCAATAAACTGCCTAGCAAAATGGTCCTTGGATATTTCTGGGCAATTTAAGGAGACACAAATGATGCTTTAATATGTATGTGACATACCACAGGAGAAAAGCTGAATCCTTGCCTCATATGGTTTACCACAAATGCTGGATAGACAGTGAAAATCCTTTCCTTTGATTTCAAATTGTAGGAAGGACGTCTATGGAGCAACTCTAAGGAAACAAAAATAAATATTAACAGACAATACCCTTACAGAATATTCCCAAGGACATTTCCATAAATTAATAGGTCATGAGAAATCTGCCATAATAAAGGGAATAATCTCTTAATTGTTTTATTATATGAAGGCATTGTGGAGATCTGGTGAAATTTACAAAAGGGTACATGGATGTTCCCTCTTGTAAACTTCATTGGGGGTTTATTTTTGGGAAATATATCTTACCTGGCTAAGTCTTATGCTCCCTGATTCTGTGTGTCATGTGTTTAATAGCTTCTACCATGTGGTTACACAATAATATTCTTCCTCACAGAGTCTAAATTAATAGACTGAAATATCTGGAGTATTTTTGGCCACATTTTTTAATGTCAGGAGGGGATATTAGTAAGTAATATAGCTTCATGCCCTTCTTACATTTTGGTCTGGAAAATGACCATAAAAAACAGGGTTGTTTTTGCTCATTTGCATCATTAAAGGTGTATTGTTCATAAAGTGGCTCAATCTACTATTCTACTACTGTGCTTTGATTTCTTGATTATTACTTATTAAATATTACACCGAGGGGCAGCAATATATTTCTATTGACATGTTGAAAAAAGTCAGAAGGGAACCAAAATGCATTGATGGCATGTTAAGGAATGAAAACAGAAACTTCTTTCTTGTTTCACAACTTATTAAATATCCTGGACCAAGATAAACAGAAATTTTCTCTCCTGCATGTCAAATACTGCTATGTCCCCTAGTAATTTATAAAATATTCTCAATAACGTATTTAGTGGTGTAGGATCTTTATAGAGGTAGTGCATCCTCTGGAGACAAATATGAATTATCCTCATATATCTGGGGACAATTGGAATAAAAAAAACCTGTATTATTACTGAGATAATTCTGCAACTTTCCCTATATCAGATGATCTTCTGCTGTTTGGCATTTGTCCAAAGCACAGTGCATTGCCACAGGGACTGAGTAATTGTCTGGTCCCTAAATGAGTAACTCTTGGTTTTAGACAGAACATGGCATATTGGCTCCTTCTCAGCTCCCAGGGACTACAGTGGGAATTTAAGTGTGACACTGTGATCAGTGTTGCTTTGTACACTGGGGAAGTCCTTGCTCACTCTGCTTTATTTTGTTGAACTTTATTGTGATTCTAATTCCAGACGCCATATGTGATATCAAGAAGAGACTGTCTCATCTTCTCCATCTGCATCTCGGGAACAGAGAGTCACCACAACTTGCTAAGCAATCAGGATATTAGAAATTATTGAGACTATCATTTAGCAAAAGCTAGGTGAAATGGTTAAACTCCAGATCTATTACAATCCCATCTGTATTTCGGAAACTGACACATACATGCAGTCAGCCTGTCCCTGAATCAGGATGATATCTTCAATTACTGATCAAGACTTAGCAGTGAATATATGGTTTGTAATACATAGCAGAGACATGTATTGAGTAGCAGTGTTTTCTATTGTAGTATTCAAGTATGTCATTACTAGTTCAGTTCTTTATGATGAGGAATTCTCAGAAAGAGTAGTAAATGACAGAAAAGTGGTCAAATATGGAGGATCCTGTACTGACAAAAGGGTGCAGCCCTTATAAGTCTGTAGGTATGAAAGTATGTTGAGGCTTCTTCAGATAGAGTCAGAAGTCCAAGTAACACTTGTTGTTGGGATCAAAGTGTTATATGTGCACATATTGTGTACTTTCTCACTTTGAGCTGTAGGAAGTATGGCTAAGTCTGCTAAATTTCACATGTAATTTATTAATGAAATTCATAAATTATTCTTTCAATTTAAAAACTGATTACACCGAACATGCAAATACTTCTCAGAGAGAGCACGTAGTCATTTTTTTTTTT